GGCATTACAGAATGGAAAAAATCAAACATTTTGATGTAAATATGTAAAGTAAAAATAATTTTCAATTAAAAAAATAATTTTATCTCTTTCAAATTTGGTAAATCCCGGCCCTGGACAATAAATAGAGCTGAAGCAGGGCAGTCTAGCCATAGAGTAAATATTTAGTCAGAGAGGAATTAACACTTGAAACATATAAACCCAATATCCTGCTGAACTGTCTGAGGAATGAGAAATATCTTGAATCTTATTGTTGTAGCAATAGTTATAGCCTTTAAATTTTGCTTTTAAGTTCTTCAGAAAACTAAAACAAATTTGCGGATTTTTCTGTTTGCTCTGATTGATTTCCAAAAGTAAACAAATTGACATTCTTCTGGACAAAATTTTAATCTTTTCCGATAAAAAACCTTCCCTTAGGCCTGATCGTTTCAGATATTTTAATGTTTTTTTGGATGCAAACATCCTGACAAAGCAAATATTTTTAAATATTTCCTCTCTATAATTTATCTCTACTCTGTGAGTCCAGTTGACGGAGAGGACAATTCTACAGAAATTCGATAAAAACTTATTGTTTTTGGCACAGCCCTTGTTTTTGTTTCAAAACCTTGATCAGATAACAGAACAGACCCACCACAAAACCAAAAATAGAAGTTATGGTTGGGTTCGAAATTCTTAGAAATAAACAAATATTTGTTGGTTTAAGGGTACAAGAAGAACATAAGGTAAATGAGTAGTTGATTATCTTTTTTCGATTTAATGCCTCCTCATGCAGTAACAATTCTGTCAACCACTGGGCAAATTTTAAAATTTCTTAACAAAAAACATGCTTGTGCTAACACTTATACTTTCTGCTCTTCAATGGGGTATTACTGCAATGCTATATATTTATTGGAAAGCTATTCTCTAATTTTAGAGTCTAATAATTTGCAACAAAGAAAAACAACTGTGCAAAGTATGTTTAAAGTTGAACAATTTTGAAAATTGACCACTGACCTGTGACCATATGTCATTTAGTTTAAAAACACATATTTGCTAAACTTTCCAAAATATGTTGTGCAACCATGAAATTAACTTTTGAATTTTTGTGTGATATGAAAAAAAACATCCCCCCCTTTAGTTAAAGTATTTTTTTATTGGACAAATATCACATTTTCAATACATTTGATTTAAATGACTTTTTAAGTAAAATATTTATATGTATAATAAGAGAACATATCATCTTAAACTTGTTGTAATACTAATTTTCAATTTTATCCCCGCAATCTTTTCAAGAATAACGTCCATGAATTATTTTATTATTAATTTGTGGTTATTGATTAAGATACTTCTGAAAAAGCTTGAAAACGCAGGAATCTGTGTCAGCACATTACAATGGTTTGAATGTTACAATTACGCGGCAGGGGGCAAAAATTCGATATAAATGGTACCTTCTCAGACTTATTCTAAATATTATAGATTCAAGGATCAAGTCCAGAGTGTTTACTGTTTATATCTATGTAAATGAAAAATCTAACAAACTTTTCAGAGTAGCCTTTGCCGACGACACAAATGTGGCATCAAAATGTAAAAACTTGAATACTCTTGCAGACACAATAAATAAAGAGGTAGAAGAAATAACTTGTTGGTACATGAGAAAACTAAAGCAATTTTATTTTCAAATTCTCTAAATGCACAAAACGACTGTTCCGATGTTTTCTTTAAACATAGGAGAAACTACATGAAAAATTGAACGCATAAAAGAAACAGATTCAGTTACATTTGTAGCATTGTCGTATGTTTGCAAAAGAAACGAAGAAAGCAAAGACGATTTTACAAAGAAAAAACTAAAAAGATTAAAAAGAGTAAAAGATATAATCAAACATAAAAGAAGTCTAAAATCAGAGCGAATTAAAAAGAAATATCTTTTTCACAACCCATACAGCCTATTGAAATTTTTTTTAAACATTACAAATAAATCTATCATTTTTATTTCTAAAAGCTGTTTATAGTTCAGCGTCGAAAAATACTAACAATCCACCACCAGTTTATATTAAATAATGTAAACAATAAATATGTAACTTTCCTATAGCTTCCTTTCCTTTTCCTTTGAGTTTTTTTTTTACTTTTTTAATTGGTGGAAATATTTAAATTAATTCTCCGGAAACACTTTATTTTGTATGTTTTTGTTATATTTCATACAAATTAGCTATATATTTCTAAAATTGACATATTCTGAAAGCTTGAATTTGATGTTGACTGTGATACACAAAAAGGATGAGACTGGTCAGAGACGACAGAATTTCTTCAATTTTGTCAAATTCATGCAAACTGGGTTCTTTTATTATCAAATCATTTAATACATCATTAAAAGACTTCAGGCAAGGCAACAATGTAAATGCAACCTTTAAATTAATGTATTTAAAGACTAAGGTCGAGTCAACGTCTTATTGCATAGTTTTTAAGTAGCTGACATAATTTTGTATTACTTAATTATCAAATTGGTAATTTAATATTTTGTAAATTGGCTTACTTTACTTAAATTAAAATACTCGCTATAAAAGCAATCTTTCTGACCTATATCAGCACTATATTATCTTTGAAAAATGTTTGCTGGGTAAAATTTTATCATTAAGTGGTAGGCGATTTTATCACAATGAAGACGACATCTTTCTTTAAGCTTAGATTGTTAACAAGCTTTTTTCGAATTACAATAATCAATGAGAAGCTTTTGTTAATTGACAGCTTCTCTTGAATTCGAGTTTATGTGTATCCATGCTGTTTAACGGCTTGATATAAATCTAAACTGAAATCGAAAGTCGTCTTCAATGTATTGATATATATAATCGCCTACCATCGTATCAGGATTTACACGTCAAAATCAGGGAAATACCCTGAGTCCTGACAAGGGCGGCTTCCGGATTTATATATTCTAAAGGGAGAATTGTTTTTTTTTTCTCCTGGTATTATTGAACTTTATTATGTAAGTAAAAATACTTTTGAAATCATGCTAATTTTTCTTGCAGAAGACTGCAAGTATAGTTTCAACTCTATGTTTGATTTTATAGTTAAAAATAAAAGTATACCAACAAGGCTGAAATACAAAAAAGCAATTATTGTTCAAAATAAGAAAAATATTAAAAAAATATCCTCCCATCTTCCATTCTACGATAATTTAGTTTTCTTGGACCGCTGAATCTAAAGGCATTTAAACACTGTTGTCCAAAATTGAGACAAACAGCTCTTTCATTGGGTGCATCCCCATTCTTTCCAGTTTGACCAAATTCCTATCGGTGTTCATGTCGACCTGTCTGTTCCAGGTCAGAAGCCTTCGGACAATTGTTTGTAGTTTAATTACTTTGTAAAAATCAAGAGGGCGGGATACACCCCCCCCATAATTTCACTCAGGAGGGAAAAGTACTCCCCCCCCCCCCTCCTCTGCAAACGCCTGTGCATAGCTTGATCTAATAGCGTCAATTGAGCTTTTCCAAATTATAATTTCCATAAACCATTAAGTATTAAATTAAAGGTAGAAAATCAAAATCAAGATTTAAATCGTCATGTTCTGAGATTTGTTGGTCTTCAGTACAGTCTCATCCTGTACTGTGGGTAACTCTTTATTTAATTATAAAAGGCACTATTGCCTTCCCTCTCTCAGTCCTCTCAGCGCGGTTGTCTTCCCTTCCCTGAAATAATATAAATCACGAAACCTCTCTAGGTCTATGCTCTTGCTGTAAACAAAACACAACACAGCTGATTTTCCCACCGGTCCGCGGTCGGTGTATGTAGTAAATTAGTAAAGTAAAGTAACTGTACTCAGTACTGTCACACTGTGAACTGAACTCACTGTGCTTCATGCAGTTAGTTGAGTGCAGTGTTTACTATTTGCATGCAGTCTTTTAGAATTAGGATAGCTTGAGAAAAATTGATTAGCTCAGAGAAAGGGGTAATTTCCTAGAGAACGATTTTTGGACCAACCCCGGCCCCCCCTCAGTAAAGTATCCATGTAGTGAGTGTAAGTACTCTGCGACCAGGGCATTTGATCTGAAGAAACATTTTGCTAGTCAACATAAGGGAATGAGATATCCTTGCGTTCAATGTGATTTTACGGCTACAACATCAAATAAGCTAAAGCTACATATTGCGAGAAAACATACCGAATATTCATGTTCAAAATGTGATTTTACGTCTGATTCATTAAAAAATCTGAAGATGCACATCCAGAGTAAACATGAGAAGGTAAGATAGTATAATAGGACGGACCCCTACTCAACCCAGCCTTAAGCAGCTAAATTGAGAAGTATGTGTAGTTAAAGAAGTTAAAAGAGTCAACAAGTTTGAACAGCCTCAGACATATACATTTTGAGTTTTATTAAAAAACGGGCAGACGCTGAACTCCAACCTTCGAGTGTGCGAGGTGGGGAAGACTTCACTGCCGCGCTTCATTAAAAGCATGATTAAGGGGGCACTGCTAGTTTATTTTACTAATCTTTGTTGATATAGTTAATTGTTGTGTTCGTCTACACATTTAATAAAATCAGAAAATCAAAATGTACATGTCTTTGATATATATATATATATAAAGTTTATTTTTATTTGTTCCTGTACTTTTTTGAACAATAAATAGATTTGAATAATAATAATGATTAAGGGGGGATGACATTTGTAGATAACTTAACCTAACCCGTGGCCGCAGCGCTCGGCCCCCTAGCCTGTCCTAGCCGCAGCGCTCGGCCCAGAAAGTGTCTCAACCTAACCTAACCCTAAATAAATACTAATTTAATTGAAAATTGTTAAAGAATGGTCATGTAAAAAGTAAAATCTGTAGTTAAGTCTTCCCCCACCTCGCAAACTCGAAGGTTCGAGTTCAGCGTCTGCCTAAAAAACTGAAGCTAGAATAGGGTTAATTGGTAATGTATTTGAAAACGTTTATAAGATATTCTTAAGGAACAATATGAGGCAAGTTAACGATTTGTGAATTACTTTTCACAATACCATTAGTAAAATTCATCGCTTATTTCAGGGATAATGGTGGAGATTATGGAGAAAGAAATCAAGATGGAAGAGATGAATTTTGAAATATGTTATATAAAAGAAGAGGAACAGGAGGACGACTTAAAAATGGAAAATACTGGTGAATATTTTTTTATATACAATCAAAAGGTGACGGGGGAATCTTTTTAAATGTGAAATTGGTCATGAAAGCGCAAGCGTATTTAACATCTGCATATAAAAATGATTTTTTAAAAAAGGGGCTTTACTACTTTGTTCTGTTTTTAATCATTTTTATAAATGTAAAAAACTTTACACAAGTACTTTTATTGCTAAGGATTCAGATCCGCAACATTTTGCCCCTGGATCCGGATCACAAAACTGCATTAAAGATCTTTTGCTTAAACACAAATCTCAATTGTTGAAAATGAGATGTTATTAAAATTTTCCATATTTCTGAAAGTTGTTTTTACATATAAATAACAGAAAAAAGTAGAAAAAATGTTGAAAATTCTTCATTTGGTAAAAAATCAGGAAATCTTAAAGAAATGTTCATGGCCTGGGTCCAGATCCGGATTTGGATCCGGGTCCGGATTTGGATCCGGATCCTGATCAAAATGTTTATATAGTTCAAAATTCTCTATTTTATATTGAATATTATCACATTAATAAAGAAGTTAAAAGGATAATTTAAAGATTTTTTTCTTGTTTGAAAAATTACCTATTTTAAATTTGCCTTCAACGCAACTTTATTTTGCAAAACTGACAGATTTGGGCCATAGGCAAAGTTTGAAATTTTTTCCATCTGAAATGGTCTATTTTAGGAATGTAATGTTTTTTTTTTTAACAAATATTTAACATCAATCGAGTGTTTAGATAAATTGTTCACTGCCCTTGATGACCTCTTGCAGCCTAGCCTGAAGGAAACTAGGAAAAGAAAACGTGAAATTGTTGAATATTCCTGTTCTGAGTGTGACTTTTTAGCAACTGAAGCACACAATCTTAAGACGCACTTTGATAGAAAACATAGACGTATTAGATATCCCTGTAATCAATGTGACCATGCAGCCACCACATCACACAATTTAAACTTACACATCAAGAGTAAACATGACGGAGTGAGGTATCCGTGTAATGAGTGTAAATACTCTGCGACCAGAGCATTTGATCTGAAGAAACATTTTGCTAGTCAACATAAGGGAATGAGATATCCTTGCGTTCAATGTGATTTTACGGCTAGAACATCAAATAAGCTAAAGCTACATATTGCGAGAAAGCATACCGAATATTCATGTTCAAAATGTGATTTTACGTCTGATTCATTAAAAAATCTGAAGATGCACATCCAGAGTAAACATGAGAAGGTAAGATATCCATGTAATCAATGTGACCATGCAGCGACTTCACCACAGAATTTGAATTCACATATTAGGAGTAAACACTTGGGTGTAAAGTATCCATGTAGTGAGTGTAAGTACTCTGCGACCAGGGCATTTGATCTAAAGAAACATTTTGCAAGTCAGCATGAGGGAATGAGATATCCTTGCGATAAATGTGATTTTAGGGCTACTAACTCACATAAGCTAAAGCTACATATTGCAAGAAAACATGTAGGATACTAATGTTCAAAATGTGATTATACATCTGATTCATTGAAAAATGTAAATATGCATATTCAGAGTAAACACGAGAGAGCAAGATATCCATGTAAACAATGTGACCATGCAGCCGCTTCACCACAGAATTTAAATTCACATATAAAGACACAACACATTGGGAGTGAAGTATCCTTGCACTAAGTGTGATTTTTCTACGACTAGAGCATATGATCTCAAGGTACATGTTAAAAGTAAGCACAATGAAGTGAGATATCCATGCAATATATGTGATTGCACTGCTTCCACAGCCAGCAATCTAAAGCAACATATTAAAACCAAACATAAAGAAATGCAACGCTTCTATTCAAACTCTAATCAATCCACATTTCACATTAGAGTCAATTAATGAATCTACAGTTCACACTGAAAATATCGGAGTTCATTCGGTCTACAATTTAAATTCAAGATATCGGAGTTGGGTTCAATCAATTCACAGTTGACATAATATATGTCAGAATTGTGTCCAATCAATCAATTCACAGTTCTAACTGGAGATGTAGGAGTTGTGATCAATCAAATTATTAATTAATAAATCAATCAATCTACAATAAAACTTAAGATTTCGGAGTTGTGTCCAAGCAATCATTCTACAATTTAAACTAGAGATGTAGATGTGCTCAATCAATCAATCCACAGTTTTCACTGCAGATGTCTGAGCTGTATTCAGTCAGTCAGCCAATCAATCAATCTTAATTCTGTTCGTACTAACTTAATACGCTTGGGGGAAATTATGTACATATATCAACGTAAGGAAATATTATATACTGTTATGCAATGAGAAATTTCTTATTTTTTTATAAAGAGAGAAATCTAATTTGAATTCCTAAATTTATACTATGATATAAATAATGAGCGGTAGGATTTCGTGTTGTGCTATTGGATCGGTGGATCGGTAAATCCATTGAACAATCCAGAGATGTTTATAAGGTTGTTCAAGGATTGGAAGACTTAAAGGGACTATGAACGTAATTTAAAGTGACCCTTTATTAAACATGATAGTGCCCGACTCACATTGGTACCCTTGAAACCTTTATCTTATTTAAAATAGAGGGTCACTTGAAATTATGCTTACAGTCCCTTTAAGCTGCAAATAATTCTGCGATGATAAATTTTAGAAATGCTATCTCTACATAGTCATGAAATGATTTGCTTACTTTTATTGCGTCATTTATTGTTAAAAACTCGAAATTATTTATTCCATTATATCAAAGAACCTAATTTCAGATAAAATGAATATAATGCGGGAAAAAAAGATTAAACACCTGGATTTAAAGGAGGTGTCTGCTACAGAGACGGCGTTTATTCAAGAAGATGGGATAAAGATTGAGTGTGCAGATGTTCAAGGTATTAAGCAGCGCTAAGGATTCGAATCCTGATCCGGATTCGTAAGATCCACAACATTTTGGCACAAAGCTGGGATAAATTTCAACCATAATTTAAAAATTACATTTTGCACTCAAACTCCAAATCGAAACTGTTAAGAAAATATAGATTATTAAAATTTTTATCTCTGATTTTGGATCTTTATGTAAATTCTAGTGTTACTTCCATGGCTCCGCCAGTTTTATTAAAGTTGAGGGTTTGACATACATTGATGAAAAATATTGAAATTAGGACGACATTCATTAATATTTGTAATCACATTTTTTTAGTTCTATTTATTCTTTAAGGACAGTGCAGTGGGGTGATGAAAATATTAAAAAAAATATTATGGTGATTAATTGGCAAAATTGTCCACCTTTTTTCTATACTTTTTACCTGGCGTATTTATTCTACAAGAGGGTCGTCAATGAAATATTTTTCTGTAAAATGTCATTTTAACCTACAAAATTAGGCCTAATATTCGAAAATGTGCTCAGTCCATTTCCGAAGATGATAATTGCGTTTTCACCCACTAACTGTCGTTGTACTAAAAAGTAATACCAGTAGTGAGTAGGTACAATGCCCACAAATGAAATGGGGGGGGGGGGGGGGGGGGTCGTCGATGAAATATTATGCTCTAAAATTTCCGTTTTATCCTTCAAAATGTAATTGAAAAGTACTTGGTCCCTATCCTAAGTTTTAAACAAAATCAAATTTTTCTGTCATTTATTTTGAAAAATTCTCAATTTTATCTGCTATCATTGAAAAAACGCAATTTATTCTATTCTGGTGTATAAAACGTAAAAATAAAATTATAATGCAAATTTCTTTGAAAATCTTTAGAACAGAGACCGAGCACCTACTTTTAAAGGTTAAAACGACATTTAGAGGAAAATGTTTCATCGACGATCATTTATGGGGTTTATACCTGCTTGAAGTAAAATTAACATATTACAACGATGTTTATTAGGCTAAAAGGCTCAACCACACTTTTTACCCTCATGTATTTTTACCCTCATGTATTTTTACCCTCATGTATTTTTACCTTCATGTATTTTTACCCTCATGTATTTTTACCCTCATGTATTTTTACCCTCATGTATTTTTACCCTCATGTATTTTTTATTTTTTACCCTCATGTATTTTTACCCTCATGTATTTTTACCCTCATGTATTTTTACCCTCAAGTATTTTTACCCTCATGTATGTATACCCTCATGTATTTTTACCCTCATGTATTTTTACTTGAGTATAATTTATTTTCTCCAATTAAACGAAAAGGCCTTAATCAGGGGGAAAATTTTTGTAACAATGGCAGCGGGGAGTGATGTTCTAGAAAATAGACAGCGATCCAATCAAAGTGAAATTTGTATCTATGCTGCAGGGTAAATGATTTCAACACTTTTTAAAGATAGAAAAACTACTTCGTAATTGTGAATTCATTTCAGGGTAATATTTCGAATCAGAAATGCCACACTTTTAATGGAGGGTCACTTGAAAATACTTTGAGAAATTGATAAGTCTCTGTAAGCTTTAATTCAAAATATTTTACTCTAAATACATTGCTCAAGCATAACTCTGTAAATCTAAGCTATAGTATTGAATGTAAAATATATATAGATAAAAACAGTTAGAAGCTTCTATTTTTTAAAACTTAATTAAAAGGGACTGTTAGCGTAATTTTAAGTGACCCTCCATGCAAAGATGACAATGCCCGGAAAAGTTTGTGGGGGGGGGGTTAGGGGCTGCCATGACCCTCTCACCTGGCGGCGGTCTGGGGGGTTCAAGTGTCTGAAAAACATCAGTTTATATAAAATTTCTTAATTGATGACCTTTTATTTTACTTTCAGTGGAGTCGGCAGATGAAAATGATCCTTTATCCTCCCAAGTCTAAATATTCTTGTGATGACTGGAGATATTCCTCTTCAAACGTTCAAACTTGATGAAACACATTGTCAGTAAACAGGATGAAGATCCAGTATTTCCTTGTGATTGGTGCAAGTCTGACTTTGGTACAGAGAAAGCGTTCATCTGGATTCTTTATTTTCTTGCGACGACTGTGATTATATTGGCACCTCGGCAGCAAGTTTAAGGTATCATATACAGATTGAACATCAGGGATTGAACTATCCATGTATTCATTGTGATTATGTTTCTAAATCAGTAACTTTCTTGAAAAGGCGTGTTAACAGAAAAGTCCAGGGGCCTATTCGAGGGGGGGGGGGGGCTATGGGGGTAAGCCCCCCTGGACCAGTGAAATCTATTGATTTCAGGGGGTTTTCAGGCCCCAACGGGTGCATAGCCCCCCTGGAAAGATAAAAAAATTTAAGCCCCTCTGGACAAATTCCTGAATACGCCCCTGCAGAAAACATATAGATGTAAGCTTTCCATGTGCTCAATGTGATCACGGAGCAACCTCTCATGGTAATTTAATGATACACGTTTTTAACGAACATAAAGTTGAAGTAAGGGTTTCAAATTCATATCCTAGCAACCCTCTTTAAGTTGGTTGAGACTGTTAGACTGCTAGTAAGAAGTTAATACCGAGTTTTCCATGCATTTATTGTAGTGTAGGCCTTCTGATATTTCACATGGAGAATGATCAAGAATTCCATATCTAAGATGATCTTTAAACGAAATCTACAAGGTAGAATTTCATCAAGTGGCAACAAGCTCCCCGGATTTGGATCCAGAAAGCTTTAAAAAAAACCATTGTTTTTTAGAAGCATTAGTTTTATCAATATTTTACTTTTATAATGATAAACTCAAAGTTATGAAACAAAACCATAAACTGTAAGAAATTGTTTGATTTTTAAACCAATTTTCATTCAATATTTTTGCATTTTGTTTTCACAATCTAGCCTCTAAGTCATACATCTTTTTATGACACAATAACTTGAGATTAGAAATTGCAGGTTACAAAAAAGAGTTTGAAAAAATGGAGATATTAAATTAATCAAAGCTATGTTTCTAACCAGTATAAGTTATTTCATTTCTTTTTTGTGGTTCTGGCCATTTTTTACTTTTTGAAAAAACATTAACTCTGAGGATTTCGTAGAATTGTTTTGGTGAACCTAAAAGTTCACCTTATTTTTACAGCAACAGTCGTTTGCTACTTAGGGATTATTAATTTTCTGTTATACAACTATAAAATAGAACTTTTTATTAACGATTGAGGATTTTAATTTATTTGAAATAATCATATGTTTCAGATAGAATGGCAGAGGGTATGAAAGAAGAAGAAGAAGAAATGGAAGATGTAAAAGTAAAAGAGGAGGAAGAGTGTAGTTCTTTTCTTAATCAGGAACCACTAGTAAAACTGGAAGATACAGGTAAGATCAATTTTTCATTTTCCCCCCTGATCTTAAATATATACACTCTGGCATATTTATTTCAACAATCATTCACACTCTTCAAAAATTAATTCAGGTTTTTTTTGGTAACTTGGGGGAATTAAATGTGTTTTTTTGGTAAACATCTGAAAGTGGGAAAATCTTACTAGTTATTTCTCTTAACGGCTTTAAATATTGAGTTTACACCATAAACCTCTTTTTCGAGTCAAATAAGGCTCGATCGCCTGAGTCATTTTTTTGAGATAAGTCTATGAGTCATGGTACTGTTGTGTTGAAGTTCTTTAATCCGACGGAAAACTGGCAATTTCCGTAAAAACTCATAAATAGGTATTTTAAACACGAATCAGAGACCTAACTAATACTTTGGCGGGCTACCAACATCTCCACATCTTTGATTAATGGTTGTTAGAATCTATTCATTCATCTAGATTATCCTGAATCCGTTGTAACTTTGTGTAAAAATGCTGTATTGTATATGTTTTTCCCCCGAAATAGATCGCTTTAATAAAGACGACATTCTTAATATATTGCGGGTTTACAGGATTAATATCTAAACGGGAAAAGTAATAATAAATTTAAATCATTATAAATCAATGCAAGCGCTACAATTGATACAATGCTTGTTAATGTAAAGATTATCAGAATATATTTATTTGTCCATTCTCACCATGAACACAAGACAAATGCATTTTAAGAGGAGTATTATTACAAAAACCAGTCACCCCCCATGACCCCCTAAAATACCCCACGTCGAGGGGGGGGGGCTTTACTTCAAAATATACACACCTTGGTTAAATATAAATCCAGAGAGGATTTGCATTATGTTAATATTATTTACTTTTAGAATTACACCTCCCCTCCCCCCGGGGGGGGGGGGCGGAATGATTTTTGATGAATTGGGAAAAAAAATTAAAAATGGGAAATATAAAGAAAAGTTTTTCATTCTTTTTGATATTTTTACTCAAAAAATTAGTTATTTTCCCCAATTCAGCGAAAAATCCCTGAAAGGTTTGTTGCCGCTCCGCCCTATAATTCTTACCGGGTGGGTAATGATTATTTAGGAAAATATAAACCCCTGGTTACTTTTGCTTAAACTTTGAAGAACATGTCCACACAATTTCTATAGAGACTCTTTATTTGAAGATTTACATTCCAAATTTAGAATAAAATCCTTTAAACCTTAACTATTTTATCTGAAAATTGATAATTTTCAATTTCGGTTCTCTTTGAAAATGACTGGCCTATTTATGCAGCACAGGCAATGAAGGAAATTATTAGAATATTTGGACGACGAAGTCTTACTTATTAACAGTCAGATTAAGGTTTTTTTTGTCACAATCCCCTGAAGATGATACGACCAGGGATGTATATAATTCCAATTTATGATTATTCCCCCCCCTCATTAGTTTTTGATTTCCTCCCCCAAATTCGATAACTATAAAGACGTATTTTTTAATATTTATATTGCAGTACATAATAATTCCTAAAATGATGGATTTTAAATAGCGCAAATGGCGCCGCGTGCAAAATTTTTTAAAACTTTGGGTAATGGTATGGTGGCAACATGGCGAAACAATTCGGGATTAATTATTTGTCAGTTGTTTTTTGGAATCTATTTCCCATCATTTTTCTTTGGGGGAGAAAGTATTGAGCATTCTTTTGTCATATTTTTTTTATACAAGTTGTGGGCGGAGCGCAAAACATTTGTAACACGTTTTTTTTGCCGCATTATAACTATTAGGGAAAATTATTTATGGAAAACTCTCTGATTTAAGATAAAGTTATGTAATTACTAATTATGTAGAGGTAAAGAGCTCCCTTCCCTATATTCCCCTTTCCTTCACTTCTTTATCTGCCAACCTTCCATCAATTCTCTACCTTCCGCTTTCCTTCGTTCCCCTTCCCTATCTACCCTACCTTCCTGTTACCTTCCCTTCCCTGTCGCTTCCGTAGTTCCCTATCTGTCCCTTTCCACCTTCCTCATTCCCTCTCAACCTTTCCTTTCCCTCCCAACCTTCCTTGTCCCTACTTATCCTCTTCCTGTCTATCTCTTTTCCTACCTATCCACTTCACTCCCTTCCCCCTCCCTACCTTTTCCCCTTCCCCGCCCTTTCCTATTTTTCGCTATTTCCCATTCTCTTTTCCTTTCATTTTCCCCCTCCATTTTTTTCTCACTTTTTTCTCTCCCATTTTTTCTCTTCCTTTCTATTTTTTCCCCTTTTCCTTCCCCTTTCCCTTCTCTTTTCTCTTCCCTTTTTCTTTCCCTTTTTCTTTACTTTCTTCCTTCACTTCCCCTACTCTTAGGTCTTTGATTTCTTCACCTCCCGGGGGGGAGATTTGTATACACCCCTGGATACGACAGATATTGCTGTCTATGCCGTCGCTTTTAAAAATGAAAGAGACTGTAAGTATACTTCTAAGGGACCCTCCATGCAAAGATGGCAATGTTCGATTTAAAATGGTTCCCTTTAAACCTTTGACAGTTCGTCGATTAAGGAGAGCTCCCTGTGTAAATCTTTTAAAAACCGCTTGAATTTATGTAAAACCAGCTGTGTACAGTATGAACTCAACACCTTACTACTGTCCCTTGAAATTACCGAAGATTTTACATAAAAAGCGGGTTCAAAAATAAAATAAAAACATATTTGTATGTCAATTCTAGAAAGTGAATATTGATAATTTTTAAATATAAAATTGCTTGCTTATAAAGTGTTAAACAATTAAAAGCGTGTTCGTAGATTAATAAGAATAAGTCCAACAACCTTGATCAGTCAAAAGTTTCAAGGTACTGGTGTGAATCTGACACGCCACGATACAAATGAAGGCTTACTTGAATGTACGCCTACAGTCTCTTGAAACATGTTTGCGCTCAAATTCAGGTTTAAAGGCTGCTGTTTTTTATCAGACACGCAACTTTGAAATTGAAGATGACTTAATTTACGTCGACTGTTCATATAGCACTATTTTTTGGAGTCTAATGTTCGCCATTTTTTTCTGTTAAAATATTTAAAAGTTTAACTTTTTACAATAAAACATAATTTTAAAATATGATTTCCTGTTAGTTGATGAGTGAAAACATTTAAAAGTTTTACTTTTTACAATAAAACATAATTTTAAAATATGATTTCCTGTTAGTTGATGAGTGAAAACATTTAAAAGTTTAACTTTTACAACAAAACATAATTTTAAAATATGATTTCCTGTTAGTTGATGAGTGAAAACATTTAAAAGTTTAACTTTTACAACAAAACATAATTTTAAAATATGATTTCCTGTTAGTTGATGAGTGAAAACATTTAAAAGTTAAACTTTTTACAACAAAACATAATTTTAAAATATGATTTCCTTTTAGTTGAGAACTTTTGGCAAATTTTTTTTTATCTTTTTTTAAAACTTCACATGTTTTTTGGCTTTCAGGAGATTCCTTAAAATATAACATTTTAACAATTTTTTTTCTTTAAAAATACTTGAAAAAAATTGCGGAAATTTTGACTCTGACAGAAGATAAAATCCAAAATCAACAGTAGTTAAAGTGAACTTGCAGTTTTTTTCACTCTTTTTGATACTGTTAACCTAATAATTTTTAATTTTCCCTAAAAATCATTTATTTCCCCTAATTTAGCGTAAATGAATTTTCAAGGCAATAAAGACAAATTTGATGGGCATACAATTTTGATATATGCTAAAATTCTCAAATGTATTGTGTATTTCTCCTGGAAGCTAAAAATCCTGAACGTTAAAAAAAGTAAATACAATTTATTTTATTTTATTTTATTTAGAAGACATGATGACGTTCATAGGATATCCTCTTCAGTCTAATCAAGCCAGAACTAACAAGATCGAACGGGAAGTTGTACATTATTCATGTAGTTTGTGCGATTATGTGGCAACTCAAGCTGGTAACTTGAAGAGACACATTGAAGTTAAACACAACGAAGTGAAATATCTGTGTGATAAATGTGATTTCGCTACTTTCAGGCGAGATACTCTCAAGGTTCATATTGAGAGTATTCATGACGGATTGAGATATCCATGTGCCGAATGTGAATATGTTGCCACCACAACAAGAAATCTGGAAAGACACAATTTGAGTAAACATTTAGGCGTGAGACATCCTTGTAGTGAATGCGACTTTGCTTCTACAACAGCCAGTAGTTTGAAGAAGCATTTTGAGGGGGTACATCAGGGGGTGAGATATCCCTGTAACACATGTGATTATGTGTCGTTAACAGCTTTGAATCTGAAAAGACACATTGAAAGTAAACATGAGGGAATAAGGTATCCTTGTGATCAATGTAATTATGCTGGAACTCGACCTAGTGATCTTAGGAATCATATTAAGTCTCAGCACGAAGGTAGACGATTTTCTTGTGTTCAATGTGAATACACTGCATCAAATGGTGGTAATCTGAAGAAGCATGTTGAAAGTAAACACGAAGGAATTAGATATCCATGTGACTATTGTGAATACGTGGCACAAAATAAGCACCACCTAAAGAGGCATATTAAAAGAAAACATGACGAAATAAGCAAACTCAATTCAATCCCATGAATATATGAAGCATTATGTATTTTGTTTTTTCCTTAACACATTTTTATCGCTTTTCTTCCTGTCGTCTATCTGTAAATGTTAGATATCTTTTTAGAACTACAGCAATGTTCCTTCAGCTAAAATTAGATTTCCTAGCAAAGCTGGATTCCTAAGCTTTTGTTTCATAAAATGATATAAGATTAAGATTTGGTAATTTTTTGGGGTGGGGTGGAGAGTGTGTGACACCAGTTCTCGTTAGATCACTGAAGTTAAGCACACTTATCCACAGCCAGTAACTGGATTGGTGTCCAAACTGGTGTTCACGGGTTCGATTCCCGTACTCCACACCAACCTGTGGGTTCAAAAACATCTGGTTAAGCAGTTATGACCACCTGACGGATGTATGAGGACAGAGGGGCGGCTGTCAACAACTCTCGCAGCGAAAGGGTGCGTACTTTCTACTCAACAAGAAAGAAGCTTTAAGTGGATTGATCCAAGTGAATGATGATGAAGAGAGGAATGGTGGACAAGCAGGGAGAGTCTATGGTTGCCAGCTATAGGTACCTGGGAGTATCCAATCCGGGCTTACAGATGTTAGGGACCAATGAGTGTGATGTTTCCTATCAGTATGGCACCCGGGCCTCATTCCAGTATATCAGAAGGATTCCTGCACTCAGGCCTAAGAAGAATCTTAGGCAGCTGAAATCTTGTCAACCCTCTTCTCAGCGTGGATGGATGAATGTGCTGCCAGATTACAACCCCTGGTAGATCAATATAACAACCCAGGCAACACCAAACTTTCGCACTAGAAAAAATTCCGAGATTTGATCGTAACAACCCGATCATTTCCTGGGGACAAAAAAATTTCTTTTAAAAGATTTAGTAATACGATTTTTATTCAAATACTATTTAAAAGTATTCAACTACCTATAAAAATAAAATTAGAAAGCTTTTTTTTCGTTAATTATAAAATTTTGTAAAACTTTTTGTTTACATATACGTGATGTGTTATATTTCAGAATATTAACTTAAAGGACATGTCGACCTGGAGCTTTATTTGAAGAGTAACACCCGATTTACAGCGGTACCCTTAACAATTCTAGAAAGAAAAACAAGAATAAATATATATTTTTTGCAAAGACATAATGCAATGTTGTGAATTTTACGTGTTTAACCTATAAAAAGTCAAGTTTACAAACGTTGACAGTCTCTTTCAAAGGACTGTGTCGACAGTCTCTTTTAAGGTACTGTGTCGACAGTCTCTTTTAAGGGACTGTGTCGACAGTATCTATTAAGGGACTGTGTCGACAGTCTCTTTTAAGGAACTGTGTCGACAGTCTTTTTTAAGGGACTTTGTCGAAGTCTGTTTCATTTCAAGGGACTGTGTCGACAGTCTCTTTTAAGGGACTGTGTTGGCCGTCTCTTTCAAGGGACTGTATGGACAGTCTTTGTTAAGGGATTGTGTCGACAGTCTTTTTTAAGGGACTGTGCCGACAGTCTCTTTTAAGGGACTATGTCGACAATCTCTTTTAAGGGACTGTGCCGACAGTCTCTTAAGGGACTATGTCGACAATCTCTTTTAAGGGACTGTGTCGACAGTCTCTTTCAAGGGACTGTTGTCGACAGTCTCTTTTAAGGGACTGTGTCGTCAGTCTCTTTTACGGGACTGAGTAATTTTATGTGTCCCTCCATGCAAAAATGGCAATGCCCGATTGACAATGGTACCCTTAATGACACTTTGAAATCTGGAAAAAAGACATTATCATCCACATTATTGATGAGAAAAGGTTTCAAGATTATTGCTATCTTTGCATGAAGGGTCACTTGAAGTTATTGATTAATTATGTAGAAAGTTCTTTTGAAATATAGGATAACGAGACATCATTGTCTTGTGCCCATTTTCTATTTAAGAATTTTTTGACTTAGGAATTAAACAATTACTTTGAAAAGAATACGCAAAATTCTATTTTGATTTTTTTTACTCTAATTATTGGGTAATTCTTGTCTTCTGACCGTAATGTCCTGTCGATTTCATAGGGTTCCCGATGTACTCGGTAAAATCCTCTTTTTAAAAAAATCGGCCAGCGCTGATGAAAATACGCAAATCATGTAACTTTGATAATTATGTTTTACAAAGCACTTTTGAAAATTAAAATTTCTTACTAATCTTATTTCTGCAAGCATAGAGGGCTTTCCCCAAACAAGTTTTCGGAAACTTCTTTTTTACTATTTTTAGTTTTCAATTTTATTATCTTTTGTCATAGAAGATATTAATTTCATTTGAACTATAAGGCACAGTTAACCTGAACATCATTTTTGGAAATAATCAGATGCAAGGCTGTAAGAGCTGGTTTGAAATGTAATATTGACTAGGAACCGCCATGTTAAATTTAGACAAATTGTATACAACACTCACATTTGATCAATGTATAAAAGTAAGGGTAGATGCAAATAATAACTTAAAAATAAACTTGGCTCTCAGATCAGTATGAAAAGATTCCTGTATCCTATTTATTCTTCATTCCTAGGTTCGCTTAACTTCATTCTATAATTTGAAACCTTCCTTCCAAAGCTGAAGTCCTTTCTTCCCAAGTTTTGAATCCCTCCTCCCAAAGTTTGAATCCTTCCTCCCGAGGTTTGAACCCTTCCTCTCAGGGTTTGAATTATTTTTCCCATGGTCAAATTCTTCCTCCCAAAATTTAAAATCTTTCCTCTCAGGGTTTGAATTCTTTCTCCCAGGGTTCAAATTCTTTCTCCCGATGTTTGCACCCATCCTCTCAAATTTTGCACCCTTTCTCCCAAGTTTGAATCCTTCCTCCCAAGGGTTGAATCTTTCCTCCCAAAGTTTGAATCCTTCCTCCCAAGGTTTGAATCCTGTCCCTTTTCCCATAAATATCATCCGACTATTATTATTATCCTCGCCTGCCTTGTAAAGCATTTAGTCAAAACCATTTTAAAGGAACCCTTTAATCGCTTTGTCCGATCAAGTATGACTTAGCTATATTTTTGTAAATTTAAACGGACCGAATAATGAATGATGCCTATACCACCGGTTCAAATTTGGAACACCAATTCAAATCTTTCCTTGAAATTATTTAAATCGTTAATTCAAATTTGAAGCGGCAGTATAGGTAGTTCAGCGACGTAGCTCAAATTCTCTACAAATATTTAGTCTCCGACATGCCGATGTCGAACATCAATAGTCAAGAAATATTTTCCCGACATCTTCGCTATCGGAACCATAAGTCGGTTTAACTGTTCCCTGGTTTCATAAAATTCGATCCCTGTTTATTTTCAACTTAGTTTTGATCTGCAAAGTGACTTGCGCATTTCTTCCATTTAAAGAGTTGTAGAAATTCAGAGAAATAAATTTACTTTTCCGAATCAGGAAAAGGACGAATTCTGATTTTTGACCAGATTATGGTTTCAATAATCAGGTATACCTTGTAAATCGGTCATTGCTTTATTTGCATAGAGGTTCATTTCAAATCAATCTTTACTGTCCAATTAAAGATGTCCTGGTTACATTCTATCTAATTGCTTTAAAAAAAATTCTTTGCAAAATTTTATAGAATAAATAACTAGATGAATGAAGACGATAATCGTTCCAGTGTTTTCTGCTTAGTGTCAATATTCAATATATATGCTCTTCATAGTAAATATCTTTAACATAAACTTCAACACTGGTTTTTCGTTTATTAATAAAATTGCGTAATTGCATTTGGTTAAAAATTATATATAACATATTATTGATTAATTCTAACTTTTCATCATAAATTACCAAAAAAAAAGAAATATTGGAACTATGTACCTAGGGTGACCTAAAAAGAACGAGACTGTATAATGACGACTTGAAACTTTTTAAGAAGGTTGATGTTAAATATCGTCTTCCGTCTTAAATACTACATTTAATACTTCATGGCAATTATTTATCGATTTGACTATAAAAAACGAGACAAGATAGACCTAAAAATATCTTTTTATGAGAAGTTTGAAAAGGTTTTAATAACATCAAATAAATGTGAAAAGAAAAAAATGTCCAATAATATAGAATTGTTTTCAACTTCCTATTTAACCATATTGTACGTTACATTTTTAATGAGTCTATATTTGAGTTTATGAAACACAATTTTACACCATATTTGATGGTAAATTTAATAAAAAAAACATTTCCTGAACTTCTACGGCATTAAAATTAAAAGATATTTAACACGATATGTCGGATTTTTAATCCCCTAGCTCACCAGTTTGTTGAATTACTCAGCCACGGAATCATGATTTCTCGATTAATACTATTATTCACATGTAAGTTTTTCTCTGTTTTCAGGGCAGTCTATATACATATATCAATACAATGAAGACGACTTTCGATTTCAATTTTGATATTTATCAATTTATCAAACTGTTAAACAGCATGGATAGTGGATATTCATAAACATGGAAACTAAGAGAAGCTTCTCTTTGATTTGATTTGTAAACTTGTAATTCGAAAAAAGCTTGAGAACAATCAACACCCAAATAAAAAAGTCGTCTTTATCGTATTGATATAATTGCCTACTTCTGTACAAAGTTATGATCTTTTTTTTTGCGGAGAATAATTCTTCAATTTTAGACTATTTATATATATATATCATATATCATTTATATATCATGAAACAAATAACAATACAATATTTGTTAAAGTTTAAGATATTGACGAGAATTTGATTTGAAAAAAATAGAGGCTCAGTATGAGACCAGTGTAATGTTCCTTTGTCATTTGTAAATTTACAACCTATTTGTAAATTGTCATATATACATAAATTGTAATTTGGATATAATTCATTGGAAATGTGTTTATGGATAAAAATATACAATTAAGTGAAGGATTTGTAAATTGTAAATGCCTAAGCGTATAATGGCAATAATTTATTATTGACTAAACTAATCTCTAAATTAGAAGTCACATATTTGATGCTGAAGTGGGAATTTTTGTTTTTATGTTGTTAACCTTGAATGCTTGATCCCGATATTCAATGTGGACACTTAACTTTAAAGATCAAGCTTGAACCCTCTAATAATATCTTAATATCTAA